ACCTATAGGATTGAGCAATTTTATTTATTTTATTTTTATTTTTTTGGAGGGGCAAGGGGGGTGGGAAGGGACTAGAAAGATTTCTGGGCTTCCCAAGGGTTCCCTAGAGAGTTCCCCGGGGAAGTGGGTGGGGTAGAAAGCTGCTTAGGCCATTGTGAATCCAGATGTTTTGTAGGTGTTGTAGACCTTCTCAATGGCGTTCGCATAGGCGGCCGTACGAATGTCCAAGCCCAAATTGTACTTGTGCGCTGTGGCGATGATTGCTTTACCTGAAAAAATTTTCCGGAGTTACTTGAAAATTTTCTGGGAGATTTGAGATTACCGGAAAATTTTTCGGGAAAATTTCCCCCCCCCCCTCAAAAAAAATCCACCGAAAGCCTTACCTGAACGTTGCATTGAGTATTCCAAAGCTGAGCTCACGATCTCCTCCTCTGAAGTGATACCCGGTTTGCTGAGCAGCTGGGCTGATGGTTCAATATGTACCTTCTTGCCCAATGCCTTCTCCAGACACCCTTCGACACTATCTAAAAAATAAAAATTGAATTATGGTGTTAGTTCCCAACTAAACAATCCAATTCCCCCGGGAACTACTTACTACCCAAAAATCTACCCAAAATCCTGCCCGCACTACTCACCCAACAATCCCATGCTGTTGTCCTGCTCGTGTTTTGTGGACAGACGACCAAAGCTGACGTGGTTCAAGCCCTTCAACCACTCGAAGTACGACACCGTTACGCCGCCACTGTTCATGAACATATCCGGCAGAAGGATGCAGTTTCCTTTGGCCAGCAGGATCTTTTCTGCGGCTGGTGTTGTGGGACCGTTGGCTGCCTCAGCAATGATCTGCAATTGGTGGCGGTGGTTATTGATTATTGATTGATTAGATCGGATCAATCAGATCAATCATGATCTCTTGATCAAAAAAATTTGGGAAATCACTTACGCTGGCTTGGTATTTCGCCGCATTATCCTTGGTGATTGTTTTCTCGCAAGCCGCTGGCACGAAGATATCGCATTTTTCGTACATCAGCTCTTTGAATGGCTCGAATGGTTTTGCACCTGGGAAGCCCTGAAATACCCAGCAATTACCCGGCGGTACAACTTCCCAACCCGGATTCTTACCCGAAGATCTCCTTC